GTCCTGGATCCCGATCAGCTGGACAGGTAAACACAGGTATGGACAGGTGAGACAGACAGGTAACCTGTAAACATCACAGGTACCCGTCCTGGATCCCAATGAGCTGTGGACAGGTAAAATAAACAGGTAACAGGTGAGATACACAGGTATGGACAGGTAACACACACAGGTACCCGTCCTGGATCCCAATGAGCTGTGGACAGGTAAACACAGGTATGGACAGGTATGGACAGGTGAGACACACAGGTAACCCATAAACACACACAGGCACCCGTCCTGGATCCCAATGAGCTGTAAACAGGTGAGACAGGTACAGGTGAGACAGACAGGTAATCCATAAACACACACAGGTACCCGTCCTGGATCCCAATGAGCTGTGGACAGGTAAAGACAGATATGGACAGGTGAGACAGGTGTGAACAGGTACAGGTGTGAACAGGTAACCCATAACCATCACAGGTACCCGTCCTGGATCCCGATGAGCTGCAGAGACAGGTGAGAACAGGTGAGAGAGATACAGGTATGGACAGGTGTGAACAGGTACAGACAGGTGAGACAGGTACGGACACGTAACACCCACAGGAACCTGTCCTGGATCCACACCAGGTGCACAGGTGGGCACAGGTGAGACCAGGTACGGACAGGTGAGACAGGTGGGACATGGACAGACAGGTACAGACAGGTAACACCCACAGGAACCCGTCCTGGATCCCGATCAGCTACACAGGTGTGCACAGGTGAGACAGACAGGTACAGGTGAGAACAGGTAACACACACAGGTACCCGTCCTGGATCCCGATCAGCTGCACAGGTGTGCACAGGTGTGCACAGACAAACACAGGTACAGGTACAGACAGGTACGGACAGGTACGGACAAATGACATCAAATATGAACAGGTACAGACAAAATCGAACAGGTACAGAAACAGAACAGGTGGGGACAGGCGGGGACAAGGTCAAGCAGGGACGGAAACAGGAACAGGTGAGGACAGAACCAAACAGGTAAGGAAAGGGCAGGAACAGGTACGGACACAGACAGGTATGGACAGGTATGGACAGGTACAGACACACGTGAACAGGTATGGACAGGTACGGACACAGACAGGTATGGACAGGTATGGACAGGTACACACAGGTGTAGGTGGGAATGAACGAGCATGAACAGGCGTGGACAGGTGGGGACAAACGGGGACAGGTACGGACACGGACAGACAC